ACCCTTATGGGAGCTCGGGAGATGAGTAATGATTTGCTTAGCCGTGGTTCACTTGGAGATATATAAGAAACCCTCTGATGAGGTGAGGTTGACATTAAAGAGATCCATAAGCAAAGAAAGGCTAGGGACCCCGAGTCCATGAATCTTAAAGAAAATCAGAAGACCCACAAGTATACCCCAGAAATTAGGAGAGAGCTGAGTAGGGTAGACATTGAAGTGTTGCAAAACACTCTTGATGAAGGGATACATAGGGAAGCGAAGGTCATTCTCAAAAGCTGCCGCAAAGAAACATACCCTCTTGTGAACTTGGGCAATGTATGGGGTGTATTTATCTAGACACCAGGAGAAAAACCGTAATGAGCACTGAGAATTCTCACATGAGAAGAGTCAACCTCACTGGGTCCTACGAGCTCAGCGTGCCTAAAGGCGGCCTCTATGCCCGCTGCGCTGTTAGAGACTCCTATCCTACTCACCTTGCCCTTATCTTTGATAGGATTAGGGGGCACAGAAGACGACAATGGGGATGGTTCCTTAGTATCTTCCTCGGCATCGACAACATCCACACCGGGGAAGTTGTCGATTTCTTCGCCTACATCCCCTAAATCAGTGTCCTCTTCGGTAGACCTTTCCCCCAAGAGAGAAGCAGAGGAGCGTATAACTCTGGAAGGAGTAGACATGACTGGACAGGAGAAGGGTAAACTGAAAGAACGGTAGAGAGGGGAAATACCGATTAAGCACTCCCTAATAACCTTAAGGTCAGCGCAGTAGCTTCCAATAACAAGGATTCGTACGATAGAAGACCAGTCCACGAAGTGGGGGAGAGGAGACAAGCAGTAATTTCGATTCCAAAAGTAAAAGAGCCGAAAGGCCCAGAAATGTAATGGCCACCTCGAATTTGAGGGATCCAGAACGAGGAAAGATGAAAAAGGGATAGAAGGGCGTACCTAGGGGGGAAAAGCAACGAACAGCACCCTGGAGCGAAATGGAAGAAAAATGGCAATGCGAATCCTCAAATCGAACCCACAGAACTTGATCTTGAATGAGAAATTAGAGAATTTCAAACCAGAAAGCCAAGAAATCGCAAGAAGAGAGAAGCAGAAGAGAAGTTGAACAGTGGAATAGGGCGGTTCAAATAGCCATTTGAGCATTTAAAGCCTGAAAGACGTGGACTGAAATATGCGCAGAAAACGAGAAAACCATGATTGCTGAAAGTCGCCAAAAAAGCTAAACTCACGTGCGGGCCAAGGTCAACCACGTGCAGATCCTGCTCGGTTTACAAAACAGCTCAACCCCTGTCCAAGCCCGTTTGAACCAGGGGCTGGGGGGCAGCTGATGATACCTCAAATAAGTCCTAGCTGTGAGGTCAGGTCAGGAAGTTGGGTCAGGAGGTCAGGAAAGACACGAGGAACTCAGAGAACCAGGGGTGGAGTTTCCCTTGGGGAGATCGTAGTTGAATCGACCAGGAAACAGTTGGATGACTATGGGAATTGGGCCCCATGCATGAAACTCTCAACCAACCAAGATTCTCTCCTAAAATTAAGGAGGATCCCATGAATAATGGGCAAAGATCTCGACTGAAATCCCACGGAATAGGGGGCAGGCTTATAAAAACTATGCAACGCCTCATCGTGAGGCGGAGAAAAAAAAGGAGAAAAACTCTAATCAGTTTAGCACTGTCTTGTGTTACATTCAACTAATCAATAGAGAAGAAAATGAGCAAGAACCTCTATTGAAGAGTGGACTAGCCGAGCTCCTGAGCCGGTGAACTACTATATTTTCACTGTGTACACCCCTTTAATCTCCTCAATATTTTATTGTAGCATCATACACAAATCTTGTAGCTCTGATCCACGCTCATCTCACGTTACTTGCACCTTAAGCTCATCCATGTTGATTTACGCCATCAAAATTTAATAAAGAAACTAGGCCTCTAAAAGTGTGTTTAATGTGAATTTTTAAAATTACTTTCAGGAATTATAACTTTTCACAAGTATTTAAAAAAAAAATAGTGTTTGGAATTGCCATACCACTACTACTACCACCCCTACCCCCACTACCACCCTGCCACCACAACTACTCCCACCACCACCCTCCACTGGCCCACCATCATCACTACCACCAACTCTACCACCATTGTCACTACTACCAACGTTGTCACCACCTTACCACCACCACCACTACCGCCACCCCACCACCACCCTATCGCCTCATCATTACCATCTCCACTACCACCACCATCGTCGTTGTCACCCTACCGTCACCCTACCATCACTGCCACTTTTTCACCATAATCCCTACCACCATCCCCCATCATCACTCCACGATAATCACCACTACCACCACCACTGTCACTGCTACTACCGCTGCCACCCTACCACCACCATCGCCACCAACCACCAATTACTACCACCGTCATCACCCACCACTATTGTCATTTCATTCTTATATTTATTACCACTACCATTATCATCCCACTATCATTATCGCCCACCGTCAGCGCCCACCACCACCCGTCGTCGCCCACCATTACCACTAGCCATTACTACCCAACCCCACCGCACTTACCACCACTCGTCATCGCCACCATTGTTGCCACCTACTGTCACTCATCCCCACCACAACTGTCATTCGCCACCACTTATCACATTGACGCCTAAAAGCACTCATTATCGTCCACCACCGCCATCACCATCGTCGTCGCCTTACCACCGCCATTGCCATCATCGTCACCCACCACCACCTCCACTGTTACCATGACTGTCATTACCACTACTGTCACCCAAAATCTACTACCACCGTCACCGTTGTCATCAATTGCTGCCAACACCACCACAGTTGTCGCCACCCACCATAACCATCACCGTATCTCACCGCCACCATTGTCACCCACTACCACTATTATTGCTCACCCCCACTACAATTGATGCTTAATTTTTTTTTCTCTTTCTCTTCTATATTTAAATTTTGATTTTGGGTGTGAATACAATTATGTTTATTGTTAACTATTTTTTTATTACTTTGTACTTTCAGACACGAATAATAAATAATAAATAAAAAACTCTAATAGATTGATGATGATAATTGCTAGATCCGTGATGTTGTTGTACTAGTGTTTTATTTTCGTGTGGGTGTGGGTGATGGTGGTTTTATTGTTAGTGTTATTTTTTTTTTTTTTTTTTGGGGGGGGGGGGGGGGGCGGGGAGAATTTGTAATTGTGTAAGGATAGAGATTATAACCAATAAAGAGAGACGTAACGAAGTGCATCAATTACACAATCGAAAAGGGTAAGTTTCAAATTTTCCGAAGCCTAACTCTAGTTGTATAACTCAAAACATCTAAATAAAAATAGTTAGATTGCTTCAACTATGACTTTGATCTCTCTTACCCTCTAAGTTATTGAGCTTCTCAAATTATCTATTCAACCATTTGAATTGATTTTTACATTGCCCTAAAACTAAAAACTCAATATATATATATATATATTTTGGAGGAATAGGGGAAGGAGGCTTGAACCTTTGACTTCAAGCAAACAAAACATTTACAAGATAAAGAGTACTATTAGACAAAAAGCTCATTTGTAACTAAAAACTCAATATATTTTGAATGAAAAATGTACAAATATGTAGTAAAATTCCAAGTTTGAAATCTCTCTAATTGGGGCAAAATAACCATTGTTGGACGTGTGAAGGAAGAAAGGTGATAGATGAGAAGGAATTTGAAATCAATAACTATTATTGGAGGGGCAAGTGATAAACACAATAATTAAAGGGACAATTTAAAAAAGGGAACATAGTTGAAGGGTTACGGTATAATTTTATGTCACTGTTGATTATTAAGTTATATCTTAAACAAATATTATTTGTGATTGATGATCTTAAAATATTGTGATCGATACTGAATAATTTCAATTAGTCATAATTTTTTTGAAAATTATATTTTTTGTGATCGACCATAATATTTTATGATCGACCAAAATTTTTTAAATCAGACCTACTAAAAAAGGACCAAAATTTCCCTTTCAACGCTACTAAAAATCTAACAAGGAAAAGGTTTGGCCTTCCAATGGTGCTTTCAAGCACTTACTGATCAATGAATGTAAATGCTATACACCTACTTGAATGTCTCAATACCTTATGTTTGAATTATCTAATGGTCTTTAGGGGAGGCATCAAAGAGGATCTCAACCAGCTCAAAGGATCCCAAGAAGGTGTTACTTTTCCTGAATTGGTCAGGTATATCTTGCCTACTTCCCCGCTTTCCATTAGAGGATGATGGAGGGAGTGGATCGAACTGAAAAATGTCGTGCAGCTCTGTTTTTCTATTGTTTCAATCTATAAAGTGTTGTTTGTTGTAGAAGAAGGTCGGACTCGTCGACTATCAATCCACATGAAATGTTGTACTATGCCTTGTCACAAAAGCCCATTCCCTACTCATTAATGATCTCGCAGTCTATTTAATGACTTTTAAGCACTCATTATGATAATGTCACAACATTAATCTTCATTTTTAATTTTATTTTTTACCAGTAACATTAGAACATCTCCAACAGTAATATCTACAATGCAAAGTATCTTTAATAAAAAATTAAAATAAAGAGGAAATTTTTTTTGAACAATCATAATAGGGTTCTCTATTCTAATAGAAAATTTGCGTTATATTTAATGAAAATAAGTAAAAATGTCATATTTTCAATCATTAATTATAAAATAGAGAATTTGTTTAATACTTAAAGAAAAAAAAGGGCCATCGATAACTAGTCTAAATATAGGGATTATTAGATTTTTTTAATTATTTACTCTCTAAAAATAAAGAATTAAATAAGAATAGAGAATTTATTCTCGAAATATTGGTATAAGTGTGTGTTATGAAATGAATTGACCTTATCTGTTAGTATGTGTTACGAAATGTATTGACCTTATCTGTTAACTTTCTGGTTGGAACTACTATTGGCGAGGCGTGCACTGACGTTGCGTTAGTTCCCCACTGACGATAACAATCACGAGGGACTGAAATAGGAAAATGCGCTTTACGCACATCAGCGCACTTTAGTAGTTCAGTACACTAAAACGATGTCGTTTGGTAATTCTTGAACTGCTCAAAATTTCCTACAATAAATATATCCCCTCAATCTCTAATCTCGATCACTCCTCGATCGAAGCTTCTGCGTTTACCATCTACGCTTAATCGTTCCTCTCCTTACCTTTCTCAGATCAGATCTCGTACAATGGGGAAAGACCCAGTTCGTGTTCTTGTTACCGGTGCTGCAGGTACTGAAAAACAACAGCAAAAAAAAAAACCAATCATTTTTTTTTATCGATTTGTGGTATTTTTTGTTATCTGATTCTGTTTTTGATCTACTTTGAACACTGATCTGAATAAACTGTCTCTCTCTCTCTCTCTCTCTCTGTCTCTCTCTCTCTCGCACACACAAGCCCACGCACAGTCTTTGTGGTGGAATTTAATGGATTCAGTTTTTGTAGGGTGAAATTGGGTTATGCTTTATGGATCATGTTGATGATAGTGAATGGATCTCGATATAGTAGATCCAATCGTGTTTAGGATTGTGCTTTATTTTGTTGAATTGAAATTCTAGCTAAAACAGTAACTTGATTTCTGTCTGAGCACCCCTCCCCCCTCCCAAAAAAAAAAAAAAGGACACACACACACAGACTGTGGTGGAATTTAATGGATTCAGTTTTTGTAGGGTGAAATTGCGTTAATTTTATGGATCGTTTTGATGATAGGTAATGGATCCAGATATAGTGGATCCAGTCGTGTTTAGGTTTGTGCTCTATTTTATGAATTGAAATTCTAGTGAAAGACTTCTGTTTTACTATAGTGTTAAAATACTCGGTCTTAAGACCAAAAAAAAAGGGGAAATAAATGCTTGCGTTCTTGTCCACCACTCTCAGCAGCCCTGGTTTAAGGGAACCTAACCAACTAGTGAAAGAAATTTCTGTTGGTATTTTAGTAACATATTGTCTGATGATCCGAATTTGAGTATAATATATGAGAAGGTTTTCACTTTTCAGTTTAGGATCACATGTACCTTTGGATCTGTATTCTTTCAGTTTCCATTTTCTCAAGCTTGATTGAGTTCAATTACCAAGCTTAACTTCATTGGTCCCTGGTGGGTTGATTTGAGCCCATCGGGTGCCAATGGGATTTGTTGAGTTTAGCGGGGCAGGAACTTGACCGAATTATTTGGAAGTTGAGGGGATCAAAATACATGTTTGTTTGTATTTATTTATATATATAAGCATACATTTTCATGTTTATTGTTGTCAGAGGTAGATTTGGGGTTCAATATGAGTTAGTTTAGTGGCTCATCAAACAGTAATGTGATCTGGAGTTTGTGGTGTACAGAGAAGGCATTTTACTCAGATTAGTCCACTCTTTGTATTTTATTTAGAGTCCGTCTAGTTCATGGATTTAGTTGGGGAAAGAGAACAAAATGTGAAGGAAATCACTTTTTGTTTGGAAGTCCTGGAAAATAAGGAGGAAAGAGATAATATTAGCTGTAGTAACTAGAAAGGGATTTATTTTTTAGTTTTCCATCATTTCCCTTTTTCTTTTTGTGATTTTTAATCAAATTTCTAGATTTTTAGTTTATTTTAGACTTCGCTTCTGAGGAAGCTTTTAAGAACTTTGATAGTTGTCTAGTAAACATTATATTTGTCAAATGTGTTTTTACATTTTGATGTTCCTGATTTAAACTTAGATGATTTTTTGTTTTGTTGCTATGCTTTAATTTAACCTATATGTTGATTGGAATCCTGTTGGATGTTGGATTTGCAGGACAAATTGGATATGCTCTTGTCCCCATGATTGCTAGAGGAGTGATGTTGGGTGCTGACCAGCCAGTGATCCTCCATATGCTAGATATTCCACCTGCTGCAGAGGCATTGAATGGAGTTAAAATGGAATTGGTGGATGCTGCATTCCCTCTCCTTAAAGGTTTGCCTTATCTTTTTTACTATACATAATAATTTGGTGAATTCAATGAAGTTCCACATTTATGTCATTTGGGATTTTGCAAGAACAATTATTTATGACTGAATAAGGTGACATTTGTATCAGGTGTTGTTGCTACAACTGACGTTGTTGAGGCATGCACTGGTGTCAACATTGCAGTCATGGTTGGTGGTTTCCCCAGGAAAGAAGGCATGGAAAGAAAAGATGTGATGTCCAAGAATGTGTCCATTTACAAGGCCCAAGCTTCTGCTCTTGAGAAGCATGCTGCTCCAAACTGCAAGGTGATTTCTATTTTCTGATACATTAAATGTTAATAATGACGAGCATTTTGAATGGCCCAGGGAAAGCGAATCATTCTATTAATTTTTTTGCCTTTTGGCTTCCGCTAAATCCTCTAGGGTAGATATGACTTTTTGTTATAGCAATGCACGTTGCACATAAATAAATTTAAATAATATTATTTTTATAAAAAATGTGAATTATATGTGTAATTAAATTAAATAATAAATTAAGTACTGAATAGTTGATCTTTATTTAAATTATTGTTAAATTTAATTATTAATTTATTCTATAAATTTTTTAGTACCTAATTTTTCATGTATTTAGGTATATCTACGACTCCTTTAGGCATTTGCACATCTAATTATATTATATAATTATTAATTTTTATTTTGTTAAATAGATTAATTAGATTGCTTATAATATTATTATATTATTGCATATCAAAGAAGAAAATGTAAAATATATTGGACCGTAGAATTCAACCTAATAACTACATGTGTATAATAATTTAACATATAGTAGACTGTTCTTCATATAGATATAAATAATTGTATGTAACTGTTATACTAATAAAAGAGTCTAAAAAAATTGAATGTCAAATAGGTGTAAAAAACATAAATTAGATGAAATTATATAAGTGGGTATAATTGAATTTATTATAATAATTAGAGATAAAATCAAAAATCAAAAGTTTTTTTACAGATGCTGATGTTTATAAGTAGTATAGATGTATTCATAAGAAATGTTTGTCCCATTGTTTAAGAACAAAAAAGTGTTTGTGGATTTACATTTATGTATCCTTGAGTAAGGCAGGCAATTCTTTACATGGCCTGCCAACCAATATAACATCGACACAAAGTTAATGCTATAGATTGAACATTAATGGATTCGGGACATGAGCGGGCATCAGATCCTGTTTAGTAGATGGGTGGACATAAGCCCGACTGAATAAGATAAGAATCTGGAAAAACACAACTTATACATGATATAAACCATGACACAAATTGAATCCGACTATAGACGACTATGAATGAATTGGATGTGTGTTGAACATGTATTGACACGACACTAATACAACTCAGAAACATGACGTGACATCAACCAGTGACAGTCCTACTGGCCTTGAGCATTATCTTATCACTTCTTGATTCTTTCAGGTTTTGGTTGTTGCTAACCCCGCCAACACCAATGCATTGATCCTCAAGGAATTTGCACCATCTATCCCTGCAGAAAACATTACTTGTCTGACAAGGTTGGACCATAACAGGGCTCTTGGTCAAATCTCAGAGAGATTGAATGTTCAAGTATGCGATGTTAAGAATGTCATTATTTGGGGAAATCATTCCTCAACTCAGTATCCTGATGTCAACCACGCAACTGTTCTAACACCAGCTGGAGAAAAGCCTGTCCGCGAGCTTGTTGCCGACGATGCATGGTATGGTGAAAGACAAAAATTTGTTTCCACCGTTATGAATATAAGTTCATATAACACAATTTTCCAACATGCAGTTCTATTCACTGAAGTCATTCTGCATTTCGTTGTTAGGTTGCACGGAGAATTCATAACTACTGTCCAACAGCGTGGAGCGGCAATTATCAAAGCCAGAAAGCTCTCCAGTGCACTGTCTGCTGCTAGTTCTGCCTGTGATCATATACGTGATTGGGTCCTTGGAACTCCTGAGGTGGTCTTTTGCTTAGTCGTCATGATATATAGTTTGATAGATCTTACATTTACCTTTGTTTTGACTGAACGTGATATTTAAATTGAGGGAAATATACTTATCTTTGTCTTCTTTTGATTGCATACTTCAGGGTACTTGGGTTTCTATGGGTGTATACTCTGATGGTTCCTACAATGTGCCAGCTGGGCTTATTTATTCCTTCCCAGTTACTTGTTGCAATGGAAAATGGTCAATTGTTCAAGGTAATGATATAGCTAATTAAGCTAAATCACACTCGCAGATGATTTTGATATGGGATCTTTGTCCATTTTTTCCTAGGTAGCATCTTCGTCCATGGACTGGGCCTGGGATCTTTTTCTTTTCATTTTTTCATTCGGTAGCCAATTGCCATCATTACTAAATCTCGCATTTCTCTTGTGAAGGATTTTTTTGGGGTTGCTAAATTTATTTTTTACCATTTTAAATCTGGGATCTATGATAACGCTGCTAGTTAACAATCCTAGATTCCTTGGATGGTATCTTCTCTTCATGTTTCTTTTTCCATGTTCAGGACTGTCAATTGATGAGCTCTCAAGGAAGAAGTTGGACTTGACAGCCGAAGAGCTTTCTGAGGAAAAGGCTTTGGCATACTCATGTCTATCTTAAGTTCTCTATCTTCTATATTCTGGTAGTAAGTTGGTATTTTGCTTTGCGTGTGAAAAGAAGTAGCTACAGTTTTGAATAATGCCATTGTTAAAATTCTTGAGGAATGAGTGATGATGGAGAAGCTGCTTCTATAGACCTTACTGTTTGTGCACTTCATTTTATATGGGGATATCTGAAATTTAGACATATCATCACCAGTGTACCTTGTGGTGGGCATTTGAATGAGATTTATAAGGACAATTTCTTCTCCATCTTTTTGTCATAATTTATTGCCTTGAGATGCACAGGTGCTTTGAACGATGATTTAATTGTTTGACAAGCATATTTATAGGTTTTGGCATGAATGAAAGTTCCAAGTTTGTGTGATTGATGATTCCATATCCCTCGTGTTTAGTGTTGCGTTTCTTTCTTTTGTCGAGGTACTAAAATCAGTTGTGCATGAACAATTAATTGACACAACCAAAAAATTTTCTTGTCGATTGGATTTCCTGTTGGTGATTCTCATCTGAACGGTTGTTTATTATGACACCCTCGGCTAATTGGGGGTAGGAGTTTCTTTCTCAAATGAGAGAGCAGCTCTGGCGAGAAGTGCTCTAAATTAACTGCAGTTGAGGGTGCTCTACGCTTGGATACCTGGTAATCCATTACCGTAATGAATTAAATTTTTGTGCTTCAAGTTGTATACAGCTTTGGGTGTTCTTTTTGTTGCTGGGGCACTTGTCTATTTTCTTAGCTGGTACTGGTCTACTGTACCTATTGTGGGTTACCTCTATATTATTGATTCTATCATTCTATGTACATGCTGTGCTAATGTTCTATAGGGTGCTTTAGCACTTCTCAGTTATCTTTGATGGGTCAAATATCGTTGTCTTGTTACTCAATCATGGTACCTAGTATCTGTAGTCTTATTATGTAAACTAATATGCATCAATTTCCGTTGATTTTGAATGTGGCTTGAACCACTGCATAGCCTCGAAAGAACATTACGAGCTGCAGTGACTGCTTCCTTGATATGCCCTTGTTTCCCCCTAGGGTGCACAATTTTGGATGTTGCTCTCTCTTGCACGGTCTCCTCGTCAAGGAAAGAGAGAATAAAATACTTAACAAAGTCTTAATTCTAACTAAAGAGAGAACAAAATATTGTGTGAGCATATGATGGCACACATACGCATGCCTGGCTTGAGTTTTATGGGCATGATTATATGGTTTTGGGATGAGGGATTTGATTGGTTTTATCAAATCCTTTCAAATTTAACCCTCACTTTTGTATACACGAGATTCATAGATAAATTCTATACATATGCGTATTTTTTAAATTATATATATATATATATATATATATATATATATATATATATATATGTGAGATCTACGGATTTATTACAATTATTATTATATATTTGTCTAACAAATAACTATATTGTCCATTGGTCAATCGAATTTATCCTCATATTTGTTTAATTACATACAAGTAATTTTGGGGAGAGGGGTGAGATGTGATTTAGTAGATAAGATATTTTATTAGTGATAGATATGTCATTTGACTTAGTTAACCTAAATTAGCATATATGAAATTCACTCTCTTTTATGAGTTTGTCAAACCCCATGTACGTGGGTTTAATACACTGGGCTATTTATGGCCCAGAATTCAGTACTCACCAAATACGGAATTGGATATTTGGACGTGAGTATTTTTTTTAGAACTTATTTGACTTTAAGTACAACAACTAGACTTATACTCCATTAAGTTTTCATTTTCATCAAATTATTGTCATTAAGTACACAATTTTTTTTTGTATTATCTAATTACCGCTACTATAAGTACTGCATATCATTGTTAGTTTCAATATAACAATTCCTAACTTGAGAATTGTAATAGCATTACAATTATTTTTCTATCATATCTATCTATAAATAGATATGATATAAAGATGCTCAATAAAAAAATAATAACATCAAATAATATGTTCAACAAAAAAATATTAACATCAAACAGTATGCAAGTTGATTACTTGGGGCCAATCGATGAATAGCAATCCCAAGACGTTTTAGCATTCTCAAAGGTAGGAGATTCACAGTCAATCCCCTATCTATCTTGATTCTTGTTATCTCCAATCCATTAAGGTTTCTGAAATGAACAAAGGCCTGTTATGCTTAATGAGTCTTGGTTGCAAGTAATCGTCCGTAAACGTGATCAAAGCCAAACACTCGGCATAAGTTGGTTCACTACTTCTCATCTCAACTTGGTTAAGGACATCCTTAGTTCTGCAGACATGTTCAATGCATTGTATACGCTGAGTAGTGCAAGAATCTTTTTGAGGTGAGCTAATATATCATAGCGAACATGTTGTCCATTAGCCGCTAATGTTTGACCAGCAAGCATTCGTTGTCTCCATCGTTGGGTAACTGCGTTTTGGCTCAAGAGCGTGCACCCAGCACTTCGGTCTATAGGGGTGCCCCCAGGGTTTTTATTTTGCTATAGACCATGATCCTGGACAAGACTTTCAGGATTTTAGGATGATATATTCTTAGATTGAGACAACTCTTGCACAAGATTTTGACCTTAATTTGGAACGAGACTGTTTGATGATACTATTTTTTTTGTTGAACATGTTATTGTTTATGTTACAATTTTTTTGTTAATCATGTTACTGTTTAATGTTAGCACAATTCTTAAGTTAAGAGTTGTTAATACTAATACAATTCCTAATTTAGGAATTGTTAGTTTTTCAAACAAGTCTGCAAAAACGAATTGGCCTCCAGAGAACCCATAAGGAATTACGAGGCATATTAAACTATTTTTCTTAAACCCCTCTTCAAGACCCCCAAACCCGGAAAACAAACAGGCCCTCTTTGTATTCCTCAAACTTATAGGTTTTAAGGTCCCAAATTTAAACATAGAAAGAAAGGTTGAGCCAATTTTTATCAACATAAACAAACTTTAAGCTTGTACCAACACCCTCGGGTTGTGAGGGATTTACCATGCTTTATTGTCATTTCAGTTGGATACGCAAGTGTTTCTGGTAGTCTTTTGGTATATAAAATGGTTTACTTGATCTAGTCTTCCGGGACAGGAGAGAATATTTAATCGTAAACTAAGGTGGTGATTAATAAAATTGAGAGCTGAAAATTAAAAATTGAATGTTGACAATTCACAGACTGGTTCATAACTTTATATATATATATATATATATATATATATATATATATATATATATATATATATATATATATATATATATGTTGGAAAAATAGGCTTTCCCACAAGTGTAAATCAATGGAAGCAATATAAATAAAATAACAGAAAATAAATAAGCACACAAGATTTACGTGGTTCCCTCAAATAACTTGAGGTACATCCACGACGACCGATAGATCAGTTTCTTCCACTATCACCAAATCAGATTACAAAGTGGTCAAAAGGCATAAGCCTTACAAACACACCAAGGTGTAAATCACAAGAGAAAAATACCTCACAAAATAAGTGAACCAAATCTCTAAGAACAAACCGCAAGAAACCCAAATATCAAGTGAAGAAATGTTACCCACTTGAAGAACAAATTTGCAGATTTTTCTGGCACCAAAAAAGAGAAGAAAAAGGCTGAATTTTTGTTGAACCAAAAACTGCCGAAAATATGTCTTCCTGCCAAACCAACAGAGAAAAGATGAACCAAAGAAAAGGACAAAACTTATAGTCTTTGGTGGCTGCCAAATTCCTTTTAACTTGAAGACTCCAAACCAAGTCTTGGATAAGAGTCATACACGGGTAAGCCACCAAAAAATTAGCAAATTGATAAGTCCCACAAAGGAGGGAAACCCAACAATATATATATATATATATATATGTTTTTTTTTCTTGTACTCGTAAGAAATATTTTTTTATATAAAAGATGGAAAAGCCTATAGTACCGAAGAGTTTTTTTTTTTTGGTATCGTACCGTTGTTACAAGTTTTGTAGTTTATTGTTACAATTTTTAAGGATCATTTATAACTTTTGAGGGTCATTTACAAATTTTGAGGATCATTTATAATATTTGATGGTCATTTACGGCTTTTGAGGTTACTTGTGATTGATCCTAATCCACAAAAGCTGTAAATGACCCACAAAAATTGTAACTTGAACCATAAAAGTTATAATTTTTTTTTTATCGTAAACAAATTTAAAAATTTATATCTCACCCTACAAAATTTATACCAAAACTTTTTGTTCAGTACTGTAGTCAAGTCAATAGAACATACGTAAGAAACAAAGATTCATTTAGATTACTTTTGTAAGGTGGAAAGAAATTAGATATGCTTCTACTCGTTTACTTAAAAAGTAGCTTAGAAAGTGTAATCAAACGATGAATAGAAGTCACCAACTCAAAAGAGACTTAAATCAACAACTCAAAAAGACCAAAACAATAACCAACAAAATACACTGAGGACTTGACCATAAATTGCTTTTTAAGGTCCGCACATCCAATGAATTTCCACCGGCTTTCTTTGACTAGCCATGAGTATAGATAGATGGCTGCATCGAGTCATGACTAGGCCAGTCGTGTGGGTGAAGCGGGTTCACATTTGGTCTTAACTAGTTTGTGTCAAAAAAGTATTTTATCATATCTTATTCGTTTATTCATTCGTGTATAATAAATCGTGTTGTTGTATCAGATTTGTATTGTGTATATATTGCGTATAACTGATATATAAATTAATTATATTGTGTGTTTTTTATAATTGACTTTACTCATACCCGATTCGTTTATTAATTGTGTCTTGTCGACTCTATTAATTTATAAAACGAATGGTTTAAGAAAAATTTAAATCTTATAATTTCGTATTATGTTAACGAATTGTCTAAGAACATAGAGGGGGCCACCATAGAAAATTTTCACCAATTAAAGTGTGGCTGCTTTAGCATACTTTTTCAATATCGCTACATTCATAATGGGAGTGATACCCCCGTAACTTTTTCTGCGCTGCCAAAGAGTTTTACACACCCTCCACTGCCAAGATTCAAGAGTTGAAACTTACCCAAAAAAATTAAAGAAAAAAATGTTTGAAAAGTTGATTATTCTGATGGTTTCAGCCTTGGTTTTCTGTTTGCTTTCACGATGCGAACGCATAAGGGTGGTCCATTGGTGAAGTTTGCCCTCTTATAAATAAAATGTCTCAGGTTTAATATTTCTCACACCTCGTAAGAGTCAACTACCCTTGTTACTTAGAAGACATGTTCTTAAATTAGGTCTACCTATGGTGGCCAATTTTAGAGTTCGAGGGAGTAGTCGACACAAACTTAAACACCCCGTAGAAAAAAAAAAAAAAATTTGATGCAGAAATCAATTTAATCAATGGCTCTTTCATTGGGGACCATTGTAGAATTCCAGATACCAAACATACTATCGTACTGTTTCATGATGCAAACTCTTAGGGATAGTTCAATGGTCAATCTGCCCTCTTATAAACAAGATGTCTCAGATTCGATATTTCTCACATCTCCTAAGGGTCAATCACTTTTATTCCTCAGGGGACATGTCTTTAAATTCGTTCTAGATATGGTGGCCAATTTTAGAATTCGAGGAAATAATTGGCACAAACTTAAACATCCAGTAAAAAAAAACATTTGATGCAGAAATCAATTTGATCAGTGGCTCTTTCACTGGGGACCAATGTAGAATTCCAGTTACTAAACATTCATACAATTCTTAGTCAAAGATTCGACTCTGTGCTTTGTGCACCATAAACTTTTGGCGTCTTCAAAAATCTTCTTTGTATTGTTGATTTGTCGAAAAAGTTATAATGGGTTTGAGAGACTTTCTTGGGGAGGAATTTTCTTTTCTTAATTTCTCTAGGTTTCTTCCAATCAATGCAAATTCTTGGAGAAAATGTGAGTGTTCAAATACTGTGATAAATTTCAGGATAATTCAAGTGATAATAAAGAATAAATTGTAAATATATACATCTTGAATTCGAATTTTGACTACATTTTTTATTTAGGATATGAGGGACTTATTCTTCATTAATACCTTAGTTTCGGCGTGGATGACCTGTCTTTGACTGAATTGAGTAGGAGATTAGTCGAGGTGCGTTTAAGGTGACCCAGACACCTTTGATTATTGAACCCAAAAAAAAAAAAAATCTTATGATTATTCCTACATATAATCACGGAAACCATCAAAATTTGAGTCAACGTAAAATTTGTCGGACTCAATATAAAATTTATTGTGTATAAGAAGGTCTCTCACTCATTAACAAGAAAATATTTTTAAAAAAAATAAAATTTGAGAAAAAAATTATTGAAAGGAATTTGGATCCAATGGTTCGGGTTAGTCCTGCCACTCTAAACAAAACTTAGAATCACATCTCATTGTCGTATACCAAACACTCTTTATCCTTTTTCCCTAATCTAAAATAAGGGGTAAACGGTTCTTAGGTTAACAAAATAAACAATAAAAAGATCATAAGCCATTATTTTTTCTATTTTTGCAATTTAGAAATCGGAGGACAAACAAATTAGTTTTTTCATGTCATTACTTAATTTTGATAGTTTTGATAGAAATAACAATTTCTCGAATCTAATGAATTTTTAAGAGATTGTTAGCACTAATAGTAATCAAAATTGAGTTTCGTCATCATCTCATCTTCATCGCTATCGTAAAAATTATTATAAGATTCAACAACGTTTATACGAAGAACATAAAATCAAGTAATAGAGCTGTTTTACAAGGGTATGGTGATTAGGGTTTTTGCCTACTCTAACTAGTTCTTAATCTTCTTAGCTATTCAAATCCTTTTGCCCCTTCACGTCACCACAAACGTACACTATAGTTTACTAGAATAAAAAATATCTTCCTTATCATAGACTTGCTTTTTGTTTCTTGGTCAATGTTTGGACATGGACAACATTTGTCCCACCTTGGAATAAGCTGACCCTATCTGTTAAGTATCAAAGAGCACAACAAAATTGACCAATCCCCGACTTAGCCTAACAATGATTATACAACCAAAACAGCCCTCAAATTTCTGGTAATTGCAGTAATTCCCCAGCTCTAATGAAAAGATTGTGCCAAAATTCCATGTCACTGTCTTCGTAGATATAGTCTGTGCTAGTATTAGCCGGTGATGATATAATTTGAGACTGTAATTCATCGGTATCACCGGGAAATTTTGATTCCATGTTGGAATTATCAGTTGATAACTCTTCTGACCAGAATCTATTGTCGATTTCAGGAAAATACTCTAATGAGTCCATTTCTTCATGCTTGATGACCATGTTATTCGTGATTGTGGTCGTGGTCGTGGTCGTGGTCGTGGATGTGTCGGTTGCTGATGAGGAGAGTTCAATACAGGGTCCAGATTGAATTGGAGAATTGGAATCAGATTTGGGCACTTTGGTCTGATGATTTTTGAGCCGTTTCTTCAAGTGGGTGTTCCAAACATTTTTTATTTCATTGTCTGTTCTTCCCGGTAATCTTGATGCAATAACAGACCATCTGAAAGAGAACAAAAATTTTTATAAGCAATATCATTATCATTGGATTGACAATCGTTTTCAAATAATTTCGGGACCCACTAATGATATAACCATTGTGGTCAATTATATCAATAAATTTACATCAAAATAGTATTATTGAATTTTCATATAAAATATTAGGACGAGTTGGGCAAAGAGAGTAATATATATATTATCAATTATGATAGTGTCCCCCTCCAAAATAAAGGAAAAAAATCTAAAAAGTAAGAAGCATCATGCAAAGCATTAGTGAATCATATGATGGAGTTGTAACTTATCATTTACATTCAACTCTGATGGCTGTGACCATCAACTACTTTCCCATGGCTTTAGACTAGATATATGTCTGTTAAAACAATATACACCAAAAAATATTGTGCTTGTCTTCCTAATCAATCTTGGTGTATGTGACAGATCTGCCTACGATACTACCAACTTTTAAGAAATAATAAGGCTTATGTTGTGGATGGTTAGTATTCCGCTCTAATTAATATCCGATTCAATGTTAAAATTCACTCTAGTTATAGAATTAAAGTTTTTCTCCGGATGTATCTAGTAAACTTGTGGCGTAGAAGAGCAGCCTGTTCTCTTGCTTTTGTTTCAAGAACATTTTATAATCTTCCTCACTTGTAGATGAAATTTTTTTTAGCATAATCACAAAATCTTAAGTGTTTTCTATATATTTTCTACTTTATTGTTGTTTATTTGAAATCTTATGCATAGACTTAATACTCTCTTGCCTATCAACGTCGTTTGCAATAGTTATATAAGGTGCGCACCTATTTCCGAGCATTTCATGGAATTTAATGATGGTTTCCTCTTCTTCCTTGCTGAGGTTTCCTCTCTTAACATCTGGTCGCAGGTAGTTCGTCCACCGGAGTCTGCAACTCTTCCCACATCTCAATAAACCTGAAAAAAAAAATGCCAAAATCAAAATAAGTCACAACAACATAATAAAAAGTAGGGTGTTAAATCGTGTCTTGTCATTTGCGTGTTGTTATTTTTGTGTCGTGTTTTTGTCAATACCCACGAAAAAATAATTTATTTAATGCGTTATAAGTGTCAAAAATTAATCCAAATCTCCTATTGTGCATATTTATCAATCATATCAATTTTGGAATCGTGTCGTTTTCGTGTTAACGGGTCAGATTGACATGCCTATTAAAAAGGAAATACTCAAAAGTCACCAAGAAAATATTAAATTGTCAAATGTTTTTAGTAGCCCCAAATCATTCAAAAGCCACATAAAATTTGAATTTATATGTATATACAAACACATACAAAGATGCTGAATTTTTGTTCATCAATCTTTTCAATAATGAAAATTATCTCAACTTGATCAAACGCGACATAATATGCACGCAATTATGCGCAAACTATATGTATCGACCAAACCCAAATTTTATAAGACTGACTCGAGGTCTCTCTATCCAAAACATATTAATTTCTTTTAAAACCAACAAAATAAGTAATAAAGAAAACACATTTGCGTTAGAAACACTTTCTGACAGCCCCAAACCATTCATTAGTGTTAATAAAAATTTGAATTTATACTAATAATATACATACATACATACACACACATAAAGAGATGGGAATTTTTGTTGATTCTTTTTTTATTAAGGGAATCATTCCAATCATGTATCTTTTAGCCTCGTAGCTGAAATGCAACACATGTATGCATGTCGGTTAAACCACACACACACACAGATACATACATATACATATATATACCAGAATGAAGTTTGAAGTTATATACCAGCTTTCTTTGGGAGGGCACGCCAATTTCCATGACCATGTTGTTGAACGTAAGAGATCAAAATCTGATCTTCTTCAGGAGTCCATGGCCCTTTCTTCAGTCCCATCTTTTCACAACAAGGAGCTCTCACCATCCTTGTTCTTCTACTGTGACAGGACTCTCTCTCTCTCTCTCTCTCTAACTCTTTGGCACTGATCAGACACAAAAAAGATCCCAAAGCTGAAGAGTGCTGTATAGGCCAAGGATGGGTATTTATGCTCAAAAGATTCCAGTAAGAAGAGGACTATCGAAAAAGTCCAAGAACAGCATCTTAATTCAAAAAGACGGTTCGTCATTTCCACGAAAGAGGATCTCTCTCTAATGGGTTCCATTAAGGTACCAAATTTACTTTTCAACTAATAAAAATGCGATACATAATAAAAAAAAAATTATTTTATAATTTTTTCTTATTTTATTATTTTTTTCAGCCAATGATTATTGGTTGTCCAATTCAAAATTAATGATAGAGATTGTTGGAGGCACATTATTAACTCCGATATCATCGGGTTACCCCTCTATCAGGAACTCAACTGAATAAGGGTGCCAATCTAGTCATTTTAGATAATGTACGGATCATGTTATTTTATATTTGCACTGTCAGTTCTAACTCAACTCATTTACTTAATCATATTATTTTTTAAAACTAGACTGACAAGTCTTTTTATCATATTATGTTCAAGTAGACCTGTACAATCTGTGAATTAAAAATTTAATACTAAGACCTCCAAGTTCATACAATAGCAAAAATAAATAAATAAATAAATAAAAAAGTCCCCTCATTTATAATAATTCATATTAATACATGATAAAAATCAAAATTCAGGTTGTCTATGTTGGATAACAATCTAACCGGTTTATTATTTGTGTTCTCATCAAGTTTGGGTTAAGAATAGTCAGCTCCAAACAATAAATTTCATATTAGTGTTGATGTCGTGTCCAAAATTATCACCCTTAGACGCAAACAAACATTGTGGATGTAGAAAGCTATCATCCTTGCACGCAAACGAACATTGTAAATGTAGAAGGCTATCACCCTTGCACGCAAACGAACATTGTGAATGTAGAAGGCCAGTGTAAGTGATTATTTTTTAGCAGTAGAATTTGGCCGCCAGAGACATTAATCAGTTCGTTTAGTGACTTGGTGAACAACAACAACAGGGTCAAAAAAAAAAAAAATTCATTTTTTTTTTAATTGGGTTAGAAAATCCACTGAGGTGGGTAACCATAACCGGATGTGTTTGGCAACAGGTAAGCCCGAAAAACTATTCCTATCCCTGTCGGGGGAGATTCCAACCATCTATCCTTTCTACCAACACAGTAGACGGTCTAGTTGAGTACCGGCTGAACTTCTTATCTTATGATTAGAAGTTTAAATTTTGGAATTTACATTGGGGCTCGGCGATTGATTACTTTGTTAACCTAACTAGGTTCATTCTCAAAAAAAATAACGGATGCAATCAAAGACCTCATGATCTCACCGATAAGAGTCTATCGGGGTGGTCTGTGAATGCTCTCCTTTGTCCCCCCTATTTTCTCTAGCCAAAAAAACAAAAAAAACACAGCAGGGCCAATTCACTATTGCATTGATATCATAAAATAAAGGAAGTACCAGCTGTTAAAAACAAATGAGCATAAGCAAATGATGCCACAAGTTGTTATAATATTCTTCGCCTGGAAATTCTACGGTATCCAATTGTTTTTTTGAACCATACCAAAAGTTATTATTTTTAGGGTCAATTATTTTTTACTTTCTTGTGATTTCGGTTAAAAGTACCTTATTTACTTGGCGTTTAAAATTATACACATTACTCCTTGTGATTATGTACGAAAGTGAAATTGTTACTTTTATTATTTAAGTTAACTGAGATTATATTCCATACACCCAAAACATGTTGTGGACTTTATTTTCATTGTTTCTCTAAAAAAGAATATTGTATAAGTGCCTAAAATACATTTTGTAATATATGGTATAATACCCAAATAAGTAGGGCATTGGTCTTAGATCAAACAATATGTAAAAAAATATAAGTGATTTTCTGCTCAGATCAAAACCTCACTTGAGGGAAAAAGAGTCTCAACATGTTTGATTGAAATGTGTTACTTTGTTATCATATTCCATTAGTTTTATGGTTAAGAGTAAATCAGACAAAAATCTGATTTTAAAACGTGGGTATTATAGCAATTTTTTAATTTCGTTAATGGTGTCAATTACATCACTTTGGTATATAACGATAAAGGGGGTAATGTATATAATTTTAAATATCCAATAAGTAATGTGCTTCTAGCCAAAACTACAAGGAATAAAAAGCAATTAACCGTTATTTTTAATAGTACGATCATACTTTTAAAAGATAAAGTTACAACTAACCTAGGTTGAGGGAAATTTATGATTGATCATGAATATCATGATCGCCAATGGAATTGCACGTAACTTCTTATTTACGATTTATAACTTAACCTTGAAAAATTATAACTTAATATTTAAAAGTTGTAACATCTATAATTAATCGTAATGTTTTAGGATTGATTATGTCATGTCTAAATTATAACTTGCACTTTAAATAATTATAAACTAATCTTAAAAAAATAGAATTTTAGGTACGGTATCAACGTCGGGACCCTAGTCTTTCCCTTTTTTTATGGGATCTGTGCAATGGTGAATTCGTCCTGCTATGTTTGTAGAAAGGAGAAATGGTTGGCAGCTCCCCGATAGGGACGGGAACAGCTTTCACGCTTACCTGTTACCAAACACATCTGGTTAGGCTATCCACTTGGTAGATCTTTTAACCCAATTTAAAAAAAAAAAATGAAAAAAATAATGGAAGTATTAAAAACAGATGAGCATAAGCAAATGACCCCACAAGTTGTTATAATATTCTTCACCAGGAAAATCTACCTCTACCGAAATTTTTTAGAACTATATACCAAAAGTTATTATTTTTAACGATAATATTATACTTTTAAAAATAAAGTTACAACTGGCCTAGGTTTAGGGAAGTTTATAATTGATCATGAATACCATGCTCGCTAATGGGATTCTCTTGTAACTTAACCTTAAAAAGTTATAACTTAACATTTTAAAAAATTTGTAACTTTTATGATTGATCGTAATGTTTTAGGATCGATACTGTCTTTTATAAGTTGTAACTTGTACCCCAGATAATTATAACTTGATTTTAAAAAATTATAATTTTTAGTACGGTACAAACGTGAGTACCGTAATCTTTCTCTTCTTCATGGGAAAATTTTAATGACTTTTTTTTAAGATGGTTCCATCACTAATCCATTTGCCTTCGGCTGGCAAGGATGAATTGTAAATATAGATCTATCTGTGTCAATAACGTTAGTGTTTAGATTTTTGAACTTTTTGTTCTTATGACTTAATCTTAAACATTTGAAATGGTTGAATTATTCAATGGAAATTGTCGGCAATTGCATGATAAAGCACTTAACACCCTTACATACGATCTAGGTTTTGACTTTGGTTTCGAAGGAGGTACCGTGCCTAAGTTTATAATTATCATCAGTTAAGATACAAGTTTTTAGGGTTTAATTATGGCTAAAAAGTTTGGATCGATTCTAAAAATGTTACAAATTTTTGAGAGTTAAGTTGTAACTTTTTGTGTGTTTTGTATCGATCCTAACAATTTAAGGATCGGTCGAAAAAACTACAGAAAATTATAAATAACACATAAAATTTAAAAACTCCTAAAAAATAGAGGGAAGAAGACGTGAGAAGCCTTCCCTCCACATTTCTTAATTTTCTAGTGTTTTTATTTTTTGTATTACTAAACCAATGTCTCCTCCAATAACCATTCAACACATAACAACTACTCTTCCACTATCTCACTAACTAATCAATGTGTCATTTCCTTAAAATGGCGGAATTGAGGTCACTGGTTCAAATCATGTCTCCACAACATCTCATCACCGTCCATCGACTCATGCGCTTGGGTCATAGTAAGGTTTAAAGCAGAGGACTTACCAAACTTAATTTGGTACTTATCAGAACTTAAATTTAAGGCCTATTAGATCTTAAATTGAAGTACTTGAATAGGCCATCAGGAGTAAATAATCAATGTAATAATGACACTATTCCATTATCGTCTCAATTTTGCAAAAAAATAACGAGTATAAGCAACCGAGTCTTACACAATTCAAACTATCATGATATGTAATATAAAAACTACCCCATGTAAAAAAAGGTGAGACTATTCCACTCCTTAAATTTCAACGATCATCCCATTATTTCTCATTGCATGCTGAACTACTTCAATAATCTTAGGCCATTTTGTGTTTGAAGATTTGAACACAAGGTAGGCCAATGCACTCACACACATAGCATGAAGAAGGGGAGGGAGGGGTAAGATGGGGTGATACTAAATTAATTTTATCTTCATAGAATGGTGGTGGTAGTAAAATGGGGTGGGTTAGTAAAGAATGGGGTGAGCCGAGAATAGGGTGGAAAATGTGGATTTGATAATTGTAGATTTAACAAGAATTCGATATGACGCACGGAAGCTGTAGAATATTATAGATCCGGGGAAGGAGGGGTAGTGGCGGGGCCGACTGGGCCCCTTCTAGGGTTGGAAGAATTCTTAGTTTGACATAGAACTTTTGAAGAGAATTAACTATGTCAAAGAGTTCATCTCCCCCATTAATTTTTTTTTTTTTTTTTTTTGACGAATTGGCTTACGTAAGGGCACAGATGGTTCAATTTGGGTTGGGGCATTCGCATAAATGTAACATATGACTAGGAATCTCAATATATAAAAAGAGTGGATGTAGCTGTCAAAAGCTATAAATTAATACAATGACAATGAGATTCTAGGTAATGCGTTTATTCTCCTCCGGCCCAAAGCTTTGTTTTTCTATTCAAATTCCATCTGTGTTGGGTAATAGAGAACACTTCAAATTAAAAGCATGCAGTGATGACGACTCTAGGTAATGGGGTATTATGTGTGTATATATATATACAAAGTAGGTAGCATATATTTTTAGTCCTTAAAATATGCGTTGAATATATATTTGGTCTCCAATCTTTTAATTGTGTCTACTTAGTCCATACGGTTCCTAATTTGTATCTAAATGGTCCCATGTCAAACGTCACTCTGAAAATCGTGACGGTTTTAGTCATGCATCAATCACGTGGTTCTTAATTTTGT